CTCATAAGGTCCTCGGCTGACAAACTCAGTCCTCACTGTGTCAGAATGGATGTCAGCAGGATTAGTAGTAGTAGTTTATTTTTCCTGTAATACCTCATTATAGTTTTTTTAAGACAAAGCTAATTGAAAGGGGCACTGAGCAGAGTTACAAGCAGGGATTACAAATAATTGCTTTTTTCTTCTGCAGTTTGGCGCCCCCTCCAGCAGATGGCGATCTAGGCAACCGCCTAGTTCGCCTATGCCAAGAGCCGAATGAATAATAATAATTAGAATGTCCTAAATATGAAAAAGAAAGGTGAGTAGATAGTTTGAAAGTATCAAGGAAAAGGTTAATTTATTAGATATTTTGAGGAAGAATTTGGGGAGTAAACATGCAAATAGTTATTCGATTTTTAAAGAAAACTTAATTATTTCATAGGATTTGATTATAGTAGGTGTATGTGTGAAAGTATACATAATATAGAAGGATAATATTCAAAGTTGTGCATAAGTATGTATGTATATTTAAATGTGTATGTTTAGGGAGAATTTATTTAGTTATATTTTTGTGGAAGAATATATGTATATATAGATATAGATAAATAGACCATCACAAACTATATTCCATACCAGTAAGTGGCGGTAATGCTACTAACAGTTTGTTGCCAAGCGCCAATAAAACCAACAAGAAGAAGAACTTGGTTATTGGTATAATCTGTATAATTTGGAGGAATGTTTGGGCAGTTTATAAAACAAGTGTTGGATTAGAAAGGTCCAAATAATTCAAGGTTTTAAAGAGTTTTGTCGAAGTGAGCAGAGTGGACATGAAACAGAAAACTAAATAAAACAGATAAAATAAGATTATTATATTGAAGCAGGTTAAGTAAACATTTGCAGGTRTTTGCAGATGAATTAAAACTTAAGAAACCATCAGAGCTAAAGCAGCTTGTCTTCAGCTGCTCACTTCAAAAACAAAGATAGTAAAAATAATCTGAATTATTGAAAACAAATGTGTGTTTGGAAATATTATTCATTTCACCTGTAGACCTGAAGGAGTTTTTTTTCTGTATTTTAGGACTGAAACTTGTTTTTCTGCCCTCGGTTTTTGGTTTTATTCTTCAAAATGTTGTGATTTTTGATGCCACATTTTATCGTGTGGATTAATGCATTTTGCTCATAGTAATAGGAAATTTTAGTGCTGACAAATTAATAAAAGACAGCAGATTTGTTTTGAATCAGTAAATTCAAGAAGCATCAAGAAGAGAGCTTACAGAGCAGAATGTTTTTATTATTAAATTTTGTCCAATTATTATGTTTTTATGATATTTTATAGTAGAATTAAATCTGAAACTACAAATTTGATTAATTAAACAGATTAGATTGAGTAAGAAGAACAAAAATAAATAATAACCAAGGGCAAATAAGTATATATAAAAATAAATAGTGTTACTGTTGTGATTCTAAAACCTTATAAACAGTAAAAATGAAAAAGAATGAAGTGAGTTTCTGTCTCGTGTGTTTGTTGAATAAAGAGAAACACAGTCTTCATGTTTCCAACAGAAGTCATGTTCTAGGAGGATTCTCCTTCACTTCTTTTTGTTCAGCTTAAACCAAAACATCACTTCTGTGATGAAACATCCTGTGGAGAGATGAACAGCCCACCCATCAGCTGATGATGTCATCAGCCAGGACCTGACCTGACCTGACCTGACCTGACCTGACCTGACCCCATGCTGACCTGCTGAGGCTGTATATATGAATATACAGTATGTTATTGATTTGTATTTCTGTTGTTTTCTGATTTATGATCCAACCAAAACTTTTAGTTTCTTTTTTTTCCTTTTCCCAGCATGATTGTAAAACTTGTTGTGTTGGATGTATTTGTTCATGCCCTTTTAAATTTACCCAGTAATTTAACGCTAACTGTTCTCTCCTGATGTCTAATGGTGATTCATCCATTTCTACTATTGCTCCTGTGGGTGTTGTTTTAAATGCTCCTGTAATTATTCTTAATYCCTGATATTGAATATTGTTTAATTTTTTTAAAGATGTTTCTGATGCTGAATTGTAAACAATGCTTCCACAGTCCAGTGTTGATCTGATGAATCCTGTATAAATAGTTTTGAGTGACTTCCTGTCTGCTCCCCAGTCTCTTCCTATTAAATGCTCCTGTAATTATTCTTAATGCCTGATATT